AACCCGACTGCTGTAACACTTCCCTTTAAACTTTAAAGGAACACTTCCCTTTAAACGTTTACCCCGAAAATGGCCTCCGTGAGATCCCGAATTCGTCTAAACGCTAAAACTAGGCACTGTTTAAACATTGTTTTTAGTAATGCGGTGGCGGACCTCCTCCTATGCGCACACCGCCAACGCTTGAAAAAAAATGGCAGGTGAAAAGCGAAAACCTCGGGCAGCTTTTGAGCGGGGAGGGGGTTTAAACCAGAAGTGGCTTGACACCAGAGGCGCAATCACACAGGGGAAAAATGCGGCTGGAACTGGAGAATCAGGAAAACACCACTTGGGGACCTGGTATCAAAATACTCTGGGTTAAAGCAGTTTTGCTCCTGCCAACCTAGCAGTTCGAAGGCAAGAAATTGCAAGTAGATAAATAGGCACCATTTCAGTGGGAAGGTAACAGCGTTCCGTGCGCCTTGGTGTTTAGTCATGCCGGCCACATGACCACGGAAACGTCTTCAGACAGCGCTGGCTCTTCGGCTTTGAAACGGAGATGAGCACCGCAACCCTAGAGTCGGATTCGACTGGCTTTCGAGCAAGGGAACCTTTACCTTTAAAGCAGTTTTGAGCCGGAAAGCGACAGCTGGGGACGGGAGGCAGATGTTGACTGTGTGATCGCGCAGATAAAATCCATTTGAGGTGGGCTGAAATTGGACTAAACGGCCCGTCTGAACGCACCCTTAGAATTCTTTCCTCTTTAATCACGCGCTAATTGGATGTGAGACAAAATCCATTCTCCCAGGTTTTGACTACTCAGATTGCGAAGGGGTGGTGGTGGGGGAAAGGGCTGCGGAAGGGCTGTCTTTGACGTCGCCCGGTCCCTGGTCGCCCCGGCTGAAATCAAACTGAAACTGCAGGGGCATTTCGCACCTCAACCATCGCAGATCGCTAGCTGACATGCATTCTCCGAGCGATCCCAGGCCGCGAACGAGACGGTTGCTGAGTACGTATCGGCCTTGCGGAAGGCTGCACGCCCGTGCAACTTCACCAACCTTGAGGAAGCGCTCCTCAACCGACTTGTCTGTGGCATGAGGGACAAGAAGCTACAGCAACGATTGTTCGCACGAACAGCTCTCACCTATGCTGTGGCCTACTCCGAGGCTGTCGCCGCTGAGGCCGCCGAGAAAGCAACCCAAGAAGTGCGTCAAAACCTGGTCCCAATCCAACAGGGGGCCAACAAAGCCGTACACCACGAATCAACGAGCGAGTCCGATGGTGAGCGTGATGACGTCAATCATTCTTGTACTCTGAGGCCCAAGCGGACCCAAGTGAAAACTGCGCCAAGACTTCTAGTGTCCTGGCCCCGCTGCTGGACCTCCTGATGGCACCTGGTATTTTTGGCCACTCTGTGACAGAGTGTTGGACTGGATGGGCCTTTGGCCTGATCCAACATTGGCGTCTCTTATGTTCTTATATGGAGCAGAGGTCCATCACTGGCTATTAGCCACAAGATATAGATAGGAACACTGGTGGAATGAGCTCCCAGAAGACATCAGGGCCCTGCGGCACCTCCTAGTGTTCCACAGGGCCTGTAAAACGGAGCTCTTCCACCAGGCCTTCGATTAGGAGCCGCCACTAATGAACCACCAATGAACTATTAAAAGCCGATTGCTACGGCCATCATGTTAATGGCATTAAGAACTACTAAGGATACTGGCTCAGCTACACTGGACCACCATACAGCAATCGCCATCTGCACTTAAATGCACTCTGTACACTGTTTGTTATGTGAATTCTACAATATTGCATTTATGCATCCATGTTTTATTGTATTTTTAACCTGTTGTACACCGCCCTGAGCCTGTTTATACAGGAGGGGTGGGATATAAATTGAAAATAATAAATAAGCAAACATCTTTTTAAAGATGCACGCTCCTTTAAGCAGAGTGGGGTGCTCGTTATGCCAAGAAAGGTTATTGGGAGTGGAACTGGAGTGGGGTGCTGTAGTTGACTAATCTCCACACTGAGCAAGGGGGTTGGAGTAGGTGACCTCTAGGGTCCCTTCTCACTCTGCGTCAAGAAACTGGTCTCCTTTTTAAGAGTTTTCCTGCCTGTTTGCTTTCTTGACTATAAAAGTCATCACCACCCACCTGCTGTCTTGTTATCAGAACTGTTGCTTAGTCTGGCAGAGCAGAGAACTGTCATCTAAAATGGTTGATGGCTTGCAGTTTTGAGATCTCCTGGTAACAGCTTTCTATTGGCTAAATGGGCTTTTCTTTCTGCACGGAGAACTGCAGCCCCATCAGAAAAAACTTTGCCCCACAATCCACAAAATCCTGGCTACGGGCCTGGTGTGGCCTCTCTGTTAACTACTCTGTGTTAAGAGAAATACACGCTGCCCCTATTTGGGGGCATTCTTACATCATGCATAATATGAACTGAAACCGTTAAGACCAATAGAACACAAAGGTATGATTAGTCTGTAATCTTGAACATACAGTTTGGTGGGGCCAAAACATCACCAAAGGCCAAGGTCTAGCCTCCCCGGTCAACCAAGATGATCTCCATAAAGAGCCCCCCCCATGGGTGGGGCAGTTTGGATCAAGTGGACGGTCAACAGCAACAGTGTTATTTGTGGTGGACAATGAAGAATGCAGTCAGGCCAGTACAAAAGAAACTTTATTTGTTACAAAGAATACAAAAGGTAGAAAACCCCACCTGTGGATCCCACCAACCCCTCACCCTAGCGGCCTTCTCAAAGGGATATTAGCATCCACTGCCGAAGAAAACAAGACAGGTCAAAATACTTCCCACCCCTCTACCAGAGAACCCGGCGAAGTTCATATTTAGCACCTACAAAGCTTATCTATAACGTTCCAAACACTTCATGTCCATTATCTGAATAATCTTTACAACAGTCCTGCAGGGTAGGCCAGTACTACTGTTATTGCAGAGAGGGGTCTGTCTATCATAACATTACCCCGCTCTCCCTCCAAGGAGCGCAGCGTGTATTACACATGGAATTCCCCTTCCTCAATTTAAGAGAAAGTGACCGGCCCAAGGTCTCTCAGCGAGTTTCACGGCTGGGTGGGGATTCGAACCCAGGATTCCCGTGTCACTCTAACCACAATGCCACCATGGCCTGAGAGATGTGTGCCACCTGGCTGGTTCTTAGCCGAACTGAATTTGGAATGAGGGACGTCCCAGCGAGAGGATCGCTGTGAGCGTCAAGTAGCAGCCGCTGAACAAGACGGACCTTGATGTGACCCAGCAAGAAGACTGTGACGTTTTGAGAGGGGAACCTTGATTTATCCAAGAAATCACAGCTGAGAGGTCAACAAAGCCTCTTATCAGGCACGAAACCGGTTAGGGCTTTGAAAACCAGCACCCTGAATTGTTCCCAGACATATCTAGGGAGACAGTGCGTTGACCCACCTATCTCGGGGGCTCTGCATCACTCCACTCCACTCCAATTTCTCAGTCTCCAAGAAGAAGAAGAAGAGGAGGAGGAGGAGGAGATGGGATTTATACCCCGCCCTTCACTACCCAAAGGAGTCTCAGAGTGGCTTACAAACTCCTTTCCCTTCCCCTCCCCACAACAGACCCCCTGTGAGGGAGGTGGGGCTGAGAGAGCTCTTGACAGAAACGGCTCTTTTTCAAGAAGAAGAAGAGGAGGAGGAGATTGGATTTATACCCCGCCCTTCACTACCCAAAGGAGTCTCAGAGTGGCTTACAAACTCCTTTCCCTTCCCCTCCCCACAACAGACACCCTGTGAGGGAGGTGGGGCTGAGAGAGCTCTTGACAGAAACGGCTCTTTTTCAAGAAGAAGAAGAGGAGGAGGAGATTGGATTTATACCCCGCCCTTCATTACCTAAAGGAGTCTCAGAGTGGCTTACAAACTCCTTTCCCTTCCCCTCCCCACAACAGACACCCTGTGAGGGAGGTGGGGCTGAGAGAGCTCTTGACAGAAACGGCTCTTTTTCAAGAACAGCTCAGACAGAACTATGGCTTGCCCAAGGTCATCCAGCAGCTGCAAGTGGAGGAGTGGGGAATCAAACCTCATTCTCCCAGATTAGAGTCCGCGCACTTAACCACCACACCAAACTTGGCGGCGTCATCCACTACACCAAAGCCAGCCCCATGTAGAGTAACAGTTCGCATACTCGTTTATGCAGGCCGGGACCAATCCATGGAACCACATTTAACGTACCCATGACAAGACCGAAGAAATCCATCCCCTGGTGGTGGGGATGAAGCCCCCGCTCAATTCTCCCTCTGTTAAGAAATTTGAACTCCAGCTCAGCAACATGAGGACGTTCGCAAAAGGGCGGGCGGACCTGGTGAGTAAGGATGTCCGCCTCCAGGTGGGGCCTGGGGATCCCCTGGAATTACAGCCCATCTCCAGACTACAAGAGACCAGTTCCCCTGGAGGAAATGGCTGCTTTGGAGGTAACCCCACTGAAGTCCCTGTCCTCCCCAGGCTCCATCCCCAAATCTCCAAGGAGTTTCCAAGCCTGTATCTCCACACCTAACCCCCTCACTGGTGGCCAGGGGGGACCTTGTAACCCGAATTAAAAGGCAGATTGGGTCCTGGCCATGAGGGCTCGTGGGGAGCGAAGGGGAACATGAAATTGCCTTATAGGCAATCAGACCAGGGGTCATTTCCTGCAGGAGCGCACAGGAACGGAGCTCTGGCAGTAAAGAGCCCAGGGGGCGGGCACATGCAACAAGCCCCGCCCCCGGCTCCCAGCAGCCCTCAGTCAGAGCAAGAAGCAGCCAGGTAAGCTGCAGAGCTCCCCCGCCCCAAAACAATCCAGCGGCACCTTTAAGGCCAAGGTTTATTCAGGTACAAGCTCTCCCTCCTCTGCGAGGACAGATCTAAACGCCCCCCCCCCCCCAAAAGCGAATCCAAAACAGTCCAGTGGAGCCTGAGCGGTGGGTGTTGCCTTCTGACACACTCCCGGTGATGCCAGGGGGCGCGGCATATGCAAATAAGTTATGCTAATGAGCTCCTGCACCTCTTTTTTTACGAAATGACCCCTGAATCAGACCATCAGTCTATCAAGATCAGCATTGTCTACGGACACTGGCAGCGTCTCAGGTCTTTAACATCACCTGATACTTGATCCTTTCAGCTGGACATGCCAGGGGACTGGACCTGGGACCTTCTGCACGCCAAGAAGATGCTCTACACCACTGAGCCACGGCCCCCTCCCAAAGTAAGACCACCCTGGACACGAATCGGGAAGAACGCCTAGCAGAATCCAGGCGCCCTGAGGCAGAAAGTGTTGGGAGAAAGAGAGGCACGCGGCGGCCCTTTGAGGCTGTCGGAGCCAGGGGGAGGCCACACCTTCCCAGCATGCACGGATCCCTCCGCCTCGGAGCATGGCATGCTGGGACGCGAGTCCCCGCTGGGCTCGGTGTATCGGCAAGGCCGGGCACGTTACAACCGGATGTCGCCCGCGACGATTCCCTTCCAGGTGGGCAAGGTCAGTGGCGTATACACCTTGGCGGCCTCATCCAAGAAGTAGATCGGCTCTGCGATCCGTGTCGGGTCGAATCCTTCGGCCGCTAAGCGGACCTTCTTCTGCTTGAAGGTTTCCGTCATCTCCAGGTGGTCCTGATGGGGAAGGACAGAGGACGCGTCACTGGGGCGGTCGCAGGATCGCAGGAGATATCCCCTCTAAGGGACACCAGAGGGGGGGAAGGTCGGCACGGAGGTGTGGTTTCTGCAGGCTCAGAAGTAACTCACAAAGGGTTGCTTCCTAAAATTTACAATTGATTGAGCTTTACGCTCAATAAGGATACTACGACAGCAGAGAAAGAATGGCAAAGGGATTGTGAGGGTAGAATAAAAAAGAGAAGATTGGGAAACCCCTTGGAAAAGCCCTTAGCCTTAATTCTAAGAGTCTGACAATTAAATTTAATGCCTTTAAAATTTTAAATAGATGGCATCTTACACCCGCACGGATTTCTCAATACCGTAACAGCGTGAAACAGACGTGTTGGAAGGGCGGTGGGTTATACGGAGATTATTTACATTGTTTTGGGAGTTGCCCCGTGGTTAAGATAATTCTGGAATCAGGTACTTCCACAAATAGAAGAAATCTCAGGCACAACAATCTCTCGACGACCTGAAGTAATCCTTCCGGAAAAAGGCCCACTGAGTCACTTCGATAAATCTAAACAAACCACGAGAGCAACTCTATTGTCGATTGCTAGCAGTTCGAAAGCAAGACATTGCAAGTAGTGGGAAGGGAACAGCGTTCCGTGCGCCTTGGTGTTTAGTCAAGCCGGCCACATGACCACGGAAACGTCTTCGGACAACGCTGGCTCTTCGGCTTGGAAACGGAGACGAGGACCGCAACCCTAGTCGGATTCGACTGGCTTTCGAGCAAGGGAACCTTTACCTTTACCTTTAAGATAGAAATAGCAAGGAAATGGAGAAAAGCAACAGGCCCCTCTTTAACGGACCGGTGCAACGGTATATTGACTCATTTTGTTTTGGGGAAATTAAGACCAATCCTCAGGACTGCAGAACTCAGATGCTTATCACAAAAACTTCCAAGCAGTCCTAGTTCCCGAGCATACAGTTTCTTCAAGAAAAGGAAATTCTGCCATCCGATCTTTTCTTTCGTGAGCTACTTTCTTTTTAAAGAAGGCTTTTAGGAAATAGAGAGCGCTGCGACCAGGGACCCAGAACTGGCTGGTCCTCCCGAACGTCAAGGAGGCCGGGCTCGCGGCGGCTCCGGTCTGGTGGAATGAGCTCCCGGAGGAGATCAGGGCCCTGCGGGAACTTGTTACAGTTCTGCAGGGCCTGTAAAACGGAGCCCTTCGGCCAGGCTTTTGGAGCTGCCACCGCCACCGCCACCACCGCTACCGGAGAGCGACCCCCGGTTTGATTTGTTTGTATGCCCAGGACAGGACTCTCCAGTAAAATGGATGAGGTATTTGAAATCATGGCATGGAATATCATGTGAAGACACTATGAGTAGTAGGGTTTCAAGAGAGACTACCATGGTGCTTCAGTGTGTTCGGATGAAGTTGTGAACGAAACGGAAAATCAACTCCGGGGAGTTTCGTCAACCCACTTCTATTTTCTGTACTTTTGGCGTGTTTATGGAAGAAAGAATATGTAACAGATGTGGAAGTGTTATTAGTAAAGGTAAAGGCTCGAAAGCCAGTCAAGTCCGACTCTAGGGTTGCGGTGCTCATCTCCGTTTCAAAGCCGAAGAGCCAGCGCTGTCCGAAGATGTGTCCGTGGTCATGTGGACGGCATGACTAAACACCAAGGCACACGGAACGCTGTTCCCTTCCCACCGAAGTGGTCCCTATTTATCTACTTGCAATTTCTTGCTTTCGAACTGCTAGGTTGGCAGGAGCTGGAACTAGAGACGGGAGCTCACTCCGTCATGCGGCACACTTGGGTCTCGAACTGCTGAACTACTGACCTTCCACAGCCTGCAGTTCAGCGTCTTAACCACTTTAGCCACCACAGCTCCATATTATTATTATTGTTGTTGTTGTTATTGTTGTTATTATTAGCTATTATAAATTAACATTATTAAATACAGTAGAGATATTGTATTTCATTTCATCCTAAGCGCTGAGCGTCAGCCTGTTTTCCGGTTTATTAGTGTCTTGGGCTGTTACCATTTATATTATTTTATATTCTTGAAGGTGCTGCTGGACTCTTGCTCTTTTCCGCTGCTACAGACAGACGAACGCGGGTACCCATCTCGATCTACCTCCATGGAAGGCACCGCATTTAGCCAAACGACCTGGTGAGGTATCTGAAGAAGTGAGCGGTAACTCACGAAAGCACTGATTGGGTTAGGTGCTGCTGGGCTCTGGCTCTTTTCCGCTGCTACCGACAGACGAACACGGCTACCCATTTAATAATCTGGAACCCCACACTGTGCAGGCTGAGCACTGGCAGGAATAAAAACTCGTTTTATTTCTAACAGCCCAGATTAGCCTGCTGTTATCTGAGCTCGCAAGTGAAGCAGGGTCAGTGTCTGAATGGGAGATCACCAAGGAAGACCGGGGCTAGTCAGCTCTGCTCTGCTCTTCCAAGCCCTATGAGAAGAAGCAGAGTGCAGGGGGTTGGACTAGATGACCTGCAGGGTCCCTTCTAACATTCTATGATTCTATGAGAAGAAGAAGGAAAAGAAGGAGAAGGAGGAGGAGGAGGAGAAGGAGAAGAAGAGGAGGAGGAGGAGATTGGATTTCTACCCCGCCCTTCACTACCTGAAGGAGTCTCAGAGCGGCTTACAATCGCCTTTCCCTTCCCCTCCCCGTAACAGATTCCCCGTGAGGTAGGTGGGGGCTGAGAGAACACTGAGAGAACTTGTGAATAACCCAAGGTCACCCAGCTGGCTGCATGTGGAGGAGTGGAGAATCAAACCCGGTTCTCCAGATTAGAATCCGCCGCTCTTAACTACCACACCAAACTGGCTCTCTCATGGAGAACTTCATAGGGTCGCCACGAGTCGGTTGCAACGCAACGGCACACTTTACTGTTTTCCAACATGTATGGTCTTCCAAGGGTGGATTTCCCCCCCCGTTGTTTCAGCCGCGCCTCCTCCACCCAGTCTGGTGTAGTGGTTAAGTGCACGGACTCTAATCTGGGAGAACCGGGTTTGATTCCCCACTCCTGCACTTGCACCTGCTGGATGACCTTGGGCAAGCCGCAGTTCTGTCAGAGCTGTCCTTGAAAAAGAGCAGTTTCTGTCAAGAGCTCTCTCAGCCCCACCTACCTCACAGGGTGTCTGCTGTGGGGAGGGGAAGGGGAAGGAGTTTGTAAGCCGCTCTGAGACTCCCTTGGGTAGTGAAGGGTGGGGCATAAACCCAATCTCTTCTTCTTTGTTACCTGAATTCGCAGAAAGCGGGGCCGAGCGAAGGGTGGCAACAACTCGGTCACGTGCACGTAGACCTCGGCCCCGTTGAACTCCCGTCCGGGCCTCAGCACCACTGTGGCCATGCCCGCCCGACCTTCGTGACCTGGAGAACGGAAGGAGAAGAGGAGGAGTGAATCCGGGGGGGCTCAGCTCTGGAATGGGCTCCCCACTAATAAAGATGAGGCACACCTCTGAGTACGCGCAGAGTACATTTCCTCTACTGGTGAGTTGCCAAATGCCGAAACTAGCAGATGGGGCTGAATTTCTGCATCAGCAGCATCACTCTGGGCATAGAGTCTGGGTCACCGGGGGAGAAGGCAGTTGTGAATGTCATGCATTGTGCAAGGGCTTGGGCTAGATGACTACCTGAGGTCCCTTCTAGTTCTATGTTTCTATTATTATAGGTAAAGGTAAAGGTTTCCCTTGCTCGAAAGCCGGTCGAATCCGACTCTAGGGTTGCGGTGCTCGTCTCCGTTTCCAAGCTGAAGAGCCAGCGCTGTCCGAAGACTTCTCCATGGTCATGTGGCCGGCATGACTAAACACCGAGGCGCACGGGATGCTGTTACCTTCCCACCAAAGTGGTACCTATTTATCTACTTGCAGTTTCTTGCTTTCGAACTGCTAGGTTGGCAGGAGCTGGGGCCAGAGACGGGAGCTCACTCCGTCATGCGGCACTCTGGTCTCGAACTGCCGAGCTACTGACCTTCCGGTCTGCAGCTCGACGTCTTAACCTCTGAGCCACTGCAGCCCATTATTATAAATACCTAACAATACCTCACTACATCATCATCATCTAATTAACAAGTTAGCATTGTATGGTGCTCACGTAGGGGGGTGCATAGTGCTTTATGTACATTTTGTTGACAATCCACAAACAACCCAGTACCACGAATCCTCCCCCACATTGCAGAAGTGCCCCCCCCCCCGCGGCCCTGTGGTCTAAAGGCCACCAGAATTCATAGCAGGCAAGATGCGAAGTGGAGACTTCCTGCTTCACAGCCCCTTTTTGCTGCTGCGCTACACAAACAATGAAGACACTCATCCGGCATAATCACAAAGGCAACGTTTCCAACGAGGCAGCTCACCCATATGTCAGAGAATCACTGCATAATATAATATCGTACACGCACACACGAATCTGTCCTTGAGTTCTGGGTCAGCAAAGCATTTTTTAACCAGGCACCCCGTTTTGAACTGAGCAAACAATGAGCAATATGTGCTTGAGAGCCGAGACCCAGGCAAAGGGCTCTCTAACACCCTCTGTCCCCAGTTCGGGGCCAAGGGCTCTCTGATGCCCCTGTGGTCTCCAGCCTAGGACAAATGGTTCTCTAATACCCCCTGTTCCCAATCCGAGGCAAAGGGCTCTCTAACCCCTTCATTACCCAGGGTTCTAAAAAAAAACCCCATTCCCCAGTCTAAGGCAAAGGGCTCTCTGATGTTGCTCTAGATTTTCCGGGCTGTGTGGCCGTGGTCTTGGCATTGTAGAACCTGACGTTTTGCTCTCTGATGCTCCTCTGTCCCCAGTCCAGTCTCTAACACTCTCCATTCCCCAGCCCAGGCCAAAGGGCTCACTAATCACTTCCATCCCCCGATTCAGGCAAAGGGCTCTCTAACCCCCTCCATCCCCAGTATAAACAGCAATGGAGGCTTTGGCACAGCTCTCATAATTGAATTTCACTTGGTTGCTTCCTGCTCTGCGTGAGCCAAGATCCAGGTCAGAGGGAGCAAGCAGCTGAGAGACTTACACATATGACAACCCTGGCGAAGTCGTTACTGTCCACGCTAGGGAGGACAGGGGTTCAAGAGCCCTTTGTGCATGGCTTCTCTTGCCCTGCGGGAGCAAGCCTGAAACAGAGCCCTTTGCCTACGTTTATTTATTTATTTATTTGATTTATACCCCGCCCTCCCCGCTGCGCGGGCTCAGGGTGGCTTACAATCAGGCATAGGCCAGTATCAAATATAAAACATTACAATCACAATATTGTTAACAAAAATGCTCTGATCTTCCACAAGATGGCATATTGCAACTGCTCTGCCAACTCAGCGTCGTCTGTTCCGGGAAACACTGGTGTTCTCTCTTCCAGGGCCAGGTTATGATGGTAATGATGGTAGCGGCGGCTCCTACTCATACGCCTGGCGGAAGAGCTCCGTCTTACAGGCCCTGCAGAACTGTGCAAGGTCCCGGATCTCCTCCGGGAGCTCGTTCCACCAGGTAGGAGCCGCCACCGAAAAAGCCCTGTCCCTGGTAGTGGCCAGCCTGGAACCTGGCATTGCCAGGAGGTATTGGGTCCCCGACTGTAGTGCTCGCGGGGGAACATATGGGGAAAGGCGGTCCCTTTCCACCTGGACAGGAGCGAAGAAGGTGGAGGTGGGAACGGATACTGCTTCAGGGGTAATACTGAGTCCCCCCCGGGGGGGGGGGCAGTTGGCAGCATTGACCGTATCGGGCCTCATCTGCTCCCCAGCCATTTCAGACGTGCTCTGCCCCTTCACCTGGAACGGTAACGCCGTAGACGGTGACGTCCTGAAAGCTCTCCAGGGTAGCCAGGGTCTCACCCACTTCCGTCGTGGCAACGTTCTCACCCTTCCACCTGGAGGAAAAGGAGGACGCAGGATTAGGGGAAGGTGACAAAAGGGTGGTCACGGGAATGTGGTAACTACATGCAAGGCTCCCTCTAAGCTGTTGGGGTCTTGCGAGGAAAAATTCCGCTTTGTGAGCTGCTGGCATGAAAAGCTGTGAGCCAGCAATTTGGCTGCTGCGTGAATCAGTTTGCTCCGGAGCCGTCCTTCCTGAGCTAAGACAAAAATGCGTGAGCCGGAGGCTAAAAGGCTGTGAGCTAGCTCACACTGACTCAACTTAGAGGGAACACTGGTGGGGAGCGGTTCCCCATCTGGGAGGCCAGGCTTGTGGCAACCAGGGCCAGGGCCTTTTCAGTGGCGGCTCCGACCTGGTGGAACGAGCTCCCAGAGGAGATCAGGGCCCTGCGGGACCTTTCACAGTTCCGCAGGGCCTGCAAGACGGAGCTCTTCCGCCAGGCTTTTAATTAGGAGCCACCGCTGCCACCACCACCAATTGCCTCATGGGAATACGGAGCATTGGGATGGCCCATTATAAGATCGATGGCCCACTCTAAGATCGAGTTACAGTATTCTGATGGAGCGGTACTGCTGTTTCGGGCTTGGGTAACATCTATTGATCACCAAGGCTATTTTTGGGCAGGAACGCACAGGAACAAAGTTCCGGCTGGCTCCCAAGTTGGCCACACCCATCAGGAACTCATTAGCATAATAGGCCACACCCAACAGCAGGAACCCATTAGGATTGGCTACATGAGGGGTGTGTGGCCTAACATGCAAGGAGTTCCTGCTACAAAAAAAGGCCCTGAGTTTTGACAACAAACAAGGTAAACAGAATAAGAAGCAAAAGGTGGGTGTGGCCGGATTACCACACTTCTGGTAACATGTGGTCGTGGCCTAATGTGCTAATGAGCTGTGCTGTCAGGGGTGTGGCCCAATATGCTAATGAGTTCCTGCTGGGCTTTTTCTACAAAAAGAGCCCTGCGTGATCACCATCTTGACTAGACTGATTTGACTAAATGATTAATATTAACATCACTGAGCACTTTAATTTTGATAAAATGCGAGGTTTTAATGTGTTTTAATGTGTTTTATACTTGGCACATGGTGCCCTTGTCTGTTAGCTGCTCTGAGCCCATTTGTGGGGGGGGATAAAAATATAATAATAAATAAATAAACAAACAAGGGGGTAGCAGTCTCCCCCCCCCCTCCAGCTCCATCCTCTGTCCCACATATGAAGCAGGTAAGCTCTTCAAAGGAACACTCCTCATGCAAGAGGTAAGAAATGAGCAGGGGGTACTTATTTAAGAAACAGGGAAAGGCACCATACAGATGTTTGATCCGAACTTTAGACAAAGAGAGAGAGAGCGACTTTTGCTCCTTAAATTTATTAATACAATGGGGTTTTTCGAAGTGTGGATCTTTAAAAAAAATAAAATTCCTCAGTGTTCAGGAAGGAGAAGAAAGCCCTAATACTGCACAGAAAGGGTTAGCGTGCTTATTTTAAATTAATTTAATACATCTAACCCCTCTGGGCTCAGCATACACAAAAAGAAGAGGATGCTCTTTTTGAACTTAAACCAGCGGGATGTTTTTTTTATGTCGCCTCTTTGATCAGTGCAGAGTTTGTAAATCAGTCTCGTCATGCATGCCTGCACTGTGGCAAAAAGGGGTCTTCAAATATATTTTTATGGTTTAAAAAGCTTGGTTTTTCGTCCATAGGAGGTGTTCTTTGGGGTTTCACCATTGCTGCTTAAAAAAAAATAATTACTCACGTCCACTGGTCACAACAAACGGGGCTTCGGCAGACCTAATTTTGTAGCATCTTTTGAATATTTTTTTTTTGGGGGGGGGCCCTCGTCTTTGGGTCTTCCTTCCTTTCCGAATGGAAACGCACTCCAAAAAGTCCCCCCCTCCCAGCCCAGTCTCTCTGGCAACCGCTCTCTTTGGTCAAGAGCGCCCTCCAGTGGTCAGATCTGTATTTGTTGCTGTTAGCCATTCAGGTGCATTTCCCAGTATTTAAAAGCATCCCATGAGGGGCCCGGCGGTGGACCTGCAAGGCCGGCGGGAGTGCAAGGAAGCCCCGCGAAGGCCCTCCCTGGCCCCAGGCAGGCAGGGGTGGGGAGAGGCAGAGAGGACGCAACTTACCCTCCCTCTTCTCCTGCCTCCTCCTGGCTGAATGAGGGCCGGCCGGAGGCAGGGGGCGGGGCTTCGTCAGGTGGCCCGCCCCCTTGTACCTCACCCGGGGGAACTGCGATCCCCCCCGAAATGACCTCTGGATTTATCTTCTTTTAGGTGGTTTTAATCTTGACTTTAATTTAAAGCATTTTGTACGTTTGTTGTAAGCCACCCTGAGCCCTACTTCTAGTAGAGGGCAGCCTAGTGAATCTAATTTAAGAAATAGTAATAATATTAGGGCTCTTTTTGTAGCAGGAACTCCTCAGCATATTAGGCGACACACCCCTCATGTAGCCAATCCTCCAAGAGCTTACAGAGCTCTTCTTACAGGGGCTACTGCAAGCGCTTGGAGGATTGGCTACATTAGGGGTGTGTCGCCTAATATGCAAAGGAGTTCCTGCTACAGAAAGAGCCCTATATTTGCCCCCCAAAAAAACTACCCAAAGAAGAAGAGAAGAAGAGTACAATGCCATAGAGTCCACCCTTCAAAGCAGCCATTTTCTCCAGGGGAGCTGATCTCTGTCGGCTGGGGATCAGTGGTAAAAGCGGGAGATCCCCAGGCCCCACTTGGAGGCTGGCAACCCTATTCCCTTCCCCTCCCCACAACAGACACCCTGTGAGGTAAAAGAAGAAGAAGAGATGGGATTTCTACCCCGCCCTTCACTTGGAGTCTCAGAGCGGCTTACAAACTCCTCTCCCTTCCCCTCCCCACAACAGACACCCTGTGAGGTGGGTGGGGCTGAGAGAACTCTGACACAAACTGCTCTTTTTCAAGGACAGCTGTGCCAGAGCTTGTGACTGACCCAAGGTCACATCAGCAGGTGCGAGTGGAGGAGTGGGGAACCAAACCCGGTTCTCCCAGATTAGAGTCCGCGCACTTAACCACTACACCAAACTGGCTCTTAGAGTCTGTGCACTTAACCACTCCACCAAAGAGGCGGTTCTCTGCCCTTTCTCATACCTGAAAGTGTCTCCGGTGCGGTCCCAGAAGTAGATGAAGCCACGAGAGTCCCGTAACATCAGGTCGCCGGTGTTGAAGAAGGAATCGCCGTCGGCAAAAACGTTGCGGAGGAGTTTGGCTTCCGTCAGCTCACGCCCTCCGGCGTACCCCTGGAACGGCGTCATGGGGGTCACAGGTGCGACCAGAAGCCCTGGTTCCCCTGGGAAGAAGGCAGTGAATCATACTGGTGCTGGAACTATGAGCGCAGTTGTCCCCCAACCCCTTCCAGCCTGTGAGCACCGTTGGAAGCCTGACACAAAATTGTGGGCGCAGCCTCAAAATGGCTGCCACAGAAGGTGGAGCTGGCCCCAAAACGGCTGCCAGAGCGCACCCTCAGTCACGCAGTGAAAATCCTTGTGGCGGGGCAGGCGCTTTTGCCAAAGCAATGTTTTTAATAACCTGCACAGCCAATCAAATTTCCAGTGGCTGGCAGAAGCCTTGCTAGGGAAGGAGGAGGAGGAGGAGGAGGAAGAGGGATTTGATTTATACCCTGCCCTTCACTACCCGAAGGAGACTCAGAGCAGCTTACAATCTCCTTCCCCTTCCCCTCCCCACAACAGGCACCCTGTAAGGTAGGTGGGGCTGAGAGATCTGAGAGAACTGCCCTTGAGAGAACAGCTCTGAGAGAACTGTGACTGGCCCAAGGTCACCCAGCTGGCTGCACATGGAGGAGTAGGGAATCGAACCCAGTTCTCCAGAAGAGGAGGAGGAGGAAGAGATTGGATTTATATCCTGCCCTTCACTTGGAATCTCAGAGCGGCTTACAATTTCCTTCCCTTCCCCTCAACCCTACCAATTTCCTTCCTTTCCCCTTCCCCTCAAGCTACCATGAAGATTAAAAGCTACCATGGAGGTTAAGAGCTACCCATCTTGGTTAAACTTGTAAACTTATATTGTAAACTTGTTACTGTATTTTACTGTAATTTATTGTTTTATATTATATGTTTTATTGTTATAATCTTGGCACATAGTGCCCCCGTAAGCTGCCCTGAGCCTTCGGGGAAGGGCGGGGTATAAATCCAAACATAAATAAATAAATAAAATAAATAAACACAACAGACACCCTGTGAGGTAGGTGGGGCTGAGAGAGCTCTTTCGAGAACTGCCCTTGAGAGAACAGCTCCAAGAGAACTTGTGATTGGCCCAAGGTCATCCAGCCAGGTGCAAGTGGAGGAGTGGGGAATCCAACCCGGTTCTCCAGATTAGAGTCCGCCGTTCCTAACCACTACACCAAACTGGCTCTGCCCCATCTGGCCCTGCTCACTTTCTAAAAAATCTTGATGGGTGCTAAGAATGGTGTCAGTGGGTGCCCCAGGGCCCATGGGCATCACGCTGGGGAGCCCCGTACTAGGGGGGAAAGAGGCAGAGTAGCCCATCAGAATATCCCCAAAGTCAAATCCCGCTCACCAGTTTCCACGCGCTGGCACCGACCGGCCTTGTCTCTTACTGGAATGCCCTGGAGGACATCGTAACAAAGCAACTCGAATGGGAACAAACGCTGACAAGGACAGAGGTGAGAATTGATGATAATGATATAAGATTGGATTTATATCCCGCCCTTCACTACCTGAAGGAGTCTCAGAGCGGCTTACAAACTCCTTCCCCTTCCCCTCCCCACCACAGACACCCTGTGAGGTAGGTGGGGCTGAGAGAACTCTGACACAAATGGCTCTTTTTCAAGGACAGCTGTGCCAGAACTATGGCTTGCCCAAGGTCATCCAGCCAGGTGCAAGTGGAGGAGTGGGCGATCAAACCTGGTTCTCCCAGACTAGAGTCCGCACTCCTAACCACTACACCAAACTGGCTCTCACCAGAGAGAGAAGGGGAAGGGATTTGGGTTGGTACACTGGTTCAGTTCTAGTTGGGCTTGCGTCACATTGATGGTAGTCCTATGTGATAGGTATGTCAGTTTGTACGTTAGCAGCTACAGGTCTGAGATCTATCTATCTATCTATCTATCTATCTATCTATCTATCTATCTATCTATCTATCTATCTATCTTCTATCATCTATCTTCTATCATCTATCATCTATCTATCTATCTATCTATCTATCTATCTGGTTTACGAAGGGTTAGGGGGCTGACCATCAACAGCTCCACATGAATACCTTGGTGGCTAGTCCAGAACATTCTGAGTTTTATACCAGTGCATTATTTCAAGTATTAGGTTGAAACAGTCTATGTTGAATACTGAAATGCTATGCTGAATATTGAGATCGAAATGCTACAAAGTGTTTTTTTGTCTTAAGAGTGTATAGTGGAATAAACTGAGCTTTGTTTAAGAGCCACTGTCTCTCTCTATACTAGATTCAGTCCCTTACCAGTCTCCACCCAACCAATGAAAGAACTCAGGGGGACTGAGGGGTCCCCCCCACAGGAAAAGTCCTGGGTCCCAGTCCCAGACAGTGCTCCCTCTAAGCCAGGGGTGTCGAACGTGCTGCCCGGGGGCCGGATTAGGCCCCCGGAGGTCTTCTATCAGGCCTGCAGTAGAACTGGCTGTCTTCTGCTTCTTCTTCCAGTTCTGCTGCTGCATCATTGTAGGTTTGCAGCTTACAGATACACACCTGAACAGCATACTCAAGACTGCAACTGCGCAGACATTTTGATGCAATGATTCAGAGCAAGAGGTGTCAGTTATCAGACACTGTTAAGTAAACAAAATATTGCGAGAGTGCTAATGGTTTAAGCATGTTTTTATTTTAAGTTAAAAAAAACCCTTTGTGTTTGTTTCCTTTATAAAGTTTATATGTCCGCTACCTGGCATTACATTTTATGACACGCATGGCCCCACCCAACAAGGTCTCGTTTATGTCAGATCCGGCCCTCATAACAAATGAGTTCGACACCCTTGCTTTAAGGGGCTCACGTCCCAAAAGGGTGGGCCATTGGCCTGATCCAACATTGGCTTCTCTCATGTTCTTATGCGTTCCCGTCTACTGGTTCACATCAGCCAGGAGCAGCCCCCTTGGGTCTCAGGCAGACAATCTCTTCCCTTCACCTGACCCCCCCCCCCCAAAGTTCAGTTCTGTGCTCCTCTGGCCATTTTCGGCTCAATCCTCACCTTATAGAGCCAAGAGGCCCGCCCCACAGCGCCTACGGTCCCTGTGACGTTGAAGAAGCTCACGCTGCCCTCCGTCATGCCGTACGTCTCCACAATGCGCAGGTCCCCAAAGCGGCGGAGGAACTCGCGCCAGACGTCTGCCCGCAGTCCGCTCCCGACCGCCATCCGTAAGCTGTGCTCCCGGTCCTGGGGACTCTGAAGGGGGTGGAGGAGAAAGGACAGGTTGAGAGCCAAGAAGGGAGACCGCTGCTCTGTCCCTTGCATGGGAGTTTCATGGAGGAGGGGCAAGCACTGAAAAGGCCCTGTCTCCTACAGATGCCCTCCTAGCTTCCAAAGAAGGGGGAGGCACTCAGAACAGGGTCTCCGATGACTATCTTATCTGATGGGAAGTCAACAGTTTAAACAGATAAAACACGAAAAAGTGGTTCGGTCTGGGCCGAAGCGCGCTTGCTCCAGAGGGCTTCCCAAGGTCATCCCGCCCGTGGGCCGACAGAGGGGGAGCCTTCCCCGTGCTAACCTGAGGCTGTTTCACCAGGTAGCGGCAAAGCTCTCCGATGTACTGGAAGACGGTCACGCCGTAGTGCCGGCAGTCGGGCCAAAACTGACTGGCCGAGAATTTCTTCTTCAGCACGCAGGTGGCACCTGGGAAGGAACAAAGCACCATGAATGGCCAGCCTCTCGCCCTTTGGGATGATCTTTCTGAGGAGACTTTGGGATGATCTTTCTGAGGAGACTTTGGGATGATCCTTCTGAGGAGACTTTGGGATGATCCTTCTGAGGAGACTTTGGGATGATCTTTCTGAGGAGACTTTGGAATGATCTTTCTGAGGAGACTTTGGCTTGAACTAAACAATTATTGAAAGGCGCCTTCTGGACCAGAAATTATTATCAGTGAAACATCATTTGACATATGATGGGCTCTTGGGAGTCCTCATTTATACTTGTATTCTATGCCTCGCAATTTCACTTTGGAACAATTCTTTTCTGGTCCATTTTGTATTTGTGTTGTATAATTGTATTGTATGATGTATTGTGGTAGAAGCCAATTTGCTCCTCGTGGTGTTTGCGCTCTGAAGAAGGCCCTGACAGGCCGAAACGCGTCAGGTCAAGTCCATTGGCCTTTGTGTACATATATGATTTTGGAATTTTTTATGTAAGGTGTAATTGGGTCCCTATATTTTTTTAATCCTTTACAAACAAGTACATGCATTTTTACAGATTATATATATATATTAAGTTTTAATTGTTGGCCCTCTATTCAGTTTAGCTTACGTTTTTTGATTCTTGATCCTAGGTTTCAGGGTTGTTTGTTTCCCATTTTGTACACAGACTGAGGGGAACCTTCACATTTGTAGGCAGTTAACCACTGAATCACAGAGCCAGAAGGCAACATCAGGAGAAGACCTCAGCCTCTCTGCCCTGTTGTCGGCTCTCAAGAGGAATTGGTTGAGGCCACTGTGTGAGACGGGATGCTGGACTAGAGGGACCCTCACTGGTCTGATCCAGCAGGGCTCTTCTGATGTTCTTATGAGGGGAAGGCCTCGGCCTCTCTGCCCTGTTGTTGGCCCTCGAGAGGAACTAGCTGAGGCCACTGTGAGAGGCAGGATGCTGGACTAGATGGACCCTCAATGGTCTGATCCAGCAGGGCTCTTCTGATGTTTTTATGAAGGGAAGGCCTCGGCCTCTCTGCCCTGTTGTTGGCCCTTCAGAGGAACTGGTTGATGCTGCTGTGTGAGACGGGATGCCGGACTAGATGGACCCTCACTGGTCTGATCCAGCAGGGCTCTTCTGATGTTTTTATGAAGGGAAGGCCTTGGCCTCTCTGCCCTGTTGCTGGACCTCCAGAGGAACTGGTTGAGGCCACTGTGTGAAACGGGATGCTGGACTAGATGAACCCTCACTGGTCTGATCCTGCAGGGCTCTTCTGATGTTCTTATGAGGGGAAGGCCTCGGCCTCTCTGCCCTGTTGCTGGACCTCCAGAGGAACTGGTTGAGGCCACTGTGTGAAACGGGATGCTGGACTAGATGAACCCTCACTGGTCTGATCCAGCAAGGCTCTCCTGAGGGGAAGGCCTCTCTGCCCTGTTGTTGGCCTTCCAGAGGAAGGGGCTGAGGCCACTGTGTGAGACGGGATGCTGGACTAGATGGTCCCTCACTGGTCTGATCCAGCAAGGCTCTCCTGAGGGGAAGGCCTCTCTGCCCTGTTGTTGGCCTTCCAGAGGAAGGGGCTGAGGCCACTGTGTGAGACGGGATGCTGGACTAGATGAACCCTCACTGGTCTGATCCAGCAGGGCTCTTCTGATGTTCTTATGAGGGGAAGGCCTCGGCCTCTCTGCCCTGTTGTTGGCCCTCCAGAGGAACTGGTTGAGGCCACTGTGTGAAACGGGATGCTGGACTAGATGGTCCCTCACTGGTCTGATCCAGCAGGGCTCTCCTGAGGGGAAGGCCTCTCTGCCCTGTTGTTGGCCTTCCAGAGGAAGGGGCTGAGGCCACTGTGTGAGACGGGATGCTGGACTAGATGGTCCCTCACTGGTCTGATCCAGCGGGGCTCTCCTGAGGGGAAGGCCTCGGCCTCTCTGCCCTATTGTTGGCCTTCCAGAGGAACTGGTTGAGGCCACTGTGTGAGACGGGATGCTGGACTAGATGGACCCTCACTGGTCTGATCCAGCAGGCCTCTTCTAATGTTCTTATGATAAGCTGCAACAGCAATTTTGTGCCTGTTCCTCTCATACTGTGTCCGAATCCCAAAGTAATCTGCCGGCTCAAAAAGACTGGGAACTCCCGCTGTTGAATTTAATTAACAGAAGCCTGCAAAACTGGCCGGTGCATCCTCGCAGTCTCCCCCCTCCCTGCGAATAATTACCCGCACGCCCCAGCACAAAAGAACTAGAATGCCCCGGCAGGCACCAGACTCACCCAAGCCAAAGGTGCCAAGGATCCCCAGGAGGGCCCCCGCCAAGTGGTAGAGGGGCAGGGCGACATAGATGATGTCGGAGCTGGTCCCACCTACCAGGTGATAGAACCTCAAGCACAAGATGCATTTCATGTGGCTGATGCGAGCAGCCTTCGGGAGTCCTGGAAGAGAGAGAGAGAGAAGCCCCTCAGATGAAACAGAGTCGATCCATTTTTCGCCTTCCTTCTTTGCCCCAAAAATCCAGCGTTTCAGGAACTGAAACGCTGTGAGGTTCTGATTTCAGACAGTTTAAGAGGTGTTTGGAGAGAATTCTCCACTGCACAAGCCTATTCTGAAAGGGCCACAGTGGACTTCAGCTGTGACATGGGAAGAGAGGGGACACGAAGGTCCAAATCCTGGCACAGTGAAAAACTTGTTTGATAGCCTGAGGCAAGAAGAAGAGTTGGGTTTTTATACCCCGCATTTCACTACCCGAAGGAGTCTCAGAGCGGCTTACAATCTCCTTCCCTTCCCGTCCCCACAACAGACACCCTCTGAGGTCGGTGGGCCTGAGAGAGACTGCTCTTGAGATAACAGCTCTGAGAGAACTTGTGACTGACCCAAGATCACCCAGGTGGCTGCATGTGGAGCGGTGGGGAATCAAACCCGGTTCTCCCAGATTAGAGTCCGCTGCTCTTAACCACTACATCAAACTGGCTCTCTCAGACCACTACACCAAACTGGCAAGCCACACTCTGTCAGTGTGAACTTTCCCCTCACCTACAAATGTGGGGGTGCCCTGGCCTGGACGGCCCACGATAGGCTGATCTAGTCAGATCTCGGAAGCTAAGCAGCATTGGCTGTGGTTAGTCTTTGGATGGGAGACCACCAAGGAAGTCCGGGGTTGCTGCGCAGAGGCAGGCAAGGGCAAACCACCTCTGTGCGTCTCTTGCCTTGAAAACCCTGCAGGGTCTCCATTGGTTGGCTGTGACCTGATGGCTCTTTCCATCGCCGCAATATGGGGATAACAGTGCTAGCCTACTTTACAGGGCTGTTGCATGGATGCAATGCTCATTGAATACACGGAGGTGCTATACAAAGGCTCAGTGCTGTTCTTAAACATGGGATGGGGCGTGATATATTGCCGTCCTTCTTCTGAATCAGAGAATCAACCAAGAATTAGATTCCTGGCTCTTATGGGAGTAACTTATACCAGAGTGATAGATTCATCCTCTATCCTTCATCCTTCCGTATTGTAAGAAGAAGAGAAGAGATTGGATTTATACCCCGCCCCTCACTACCCAAAGGTGTCTCAGAGCGGCTTACAAACTCCTTTCCCTTCCCCTCCCCACAACAGACACCCTGTGAGGTTAAAGAAGAAGAAGAAGAGATTGGATTTACACCCTGCCCTTCACTACCCGAAGGTGTCTCAGAGCGGCTTACAAACTCCTTTCCCTTCCCCTCCCCACAACAGACACCCTGTGAGGTAAAAGAAGAAGAAGAAGAGATTGGATTTACACCCTGCCCTTCACTACCCGAAGGTGTCTCAGAGCTGCTTACAAACTCCTTTCCCTTCCCCTCCCCACAACAGACACCCTGTGAGGCAGGCGGGACCGAAAGAGCTCTGACAAAAACTGCTCTTTTTCAAGAACAGCTCTTGACAGAACTACGGCTTGCCCAAGGTCATCCAGCCAGGTGCGAGTGGAGGAGTGGGGAATCAAACCCGGTTCTCCCAAATTAGAGTCCATGCACTCAACCACTACACCAAACTGGCTCTAAACCACTTTGAGTCTCCATTGGGAGGAAAAGTGAGATATAAATAAACATGTAAATGAGTAAAGGGGCTCAGGGTGGTACAGATGGGTCTCTGTCTCCTCCATTTATCCCCACAACCACCTGTGAGGTAGCGTGGACTGGGAGACTGCGACTTCCCCAAAGTCACCAAATAAGCTCTGTGGCAGAATGCGGATTTGAACTCGGGTCTCCCCAATCCTGGGTCTCTGGTGCCTCAAGTGGTTAAGACGCTGAACTGCAGACTGGAAGGTCAGTAGTGCAGCAGTTCGAAACCCGGGTGCCGCGTGACGGAGTGAGCTCCTGTCTCTGGCCCCAGCTCCTGCCAACCTAGCAGTTTAAAGGCAAGAAGTTGCAAGTAGATAAATAGGTACCACTTCAATGGGAAGGTAACAGCGTTCCGTGCACCTTGGCGTCTAATCATGCCGGCCACAGGACCGTGGAAACGTCTTCGGACAGCGGTGGCTCTTCGGCTTGGAAACGGAGATGAGCACGGCATCCCTAGAGTTGGATTCGACTGGCTTCCGAGCAAGGGAAACCTTTACCCGTTACCTCCCCGATCCTAGCCCATCACTCTAACCCAGGAGTTTGGGCATGACGGCACCCACTGACACCTTTACTGGTGCCCACCAAGTGTTTTTGGAAAGTAGCTGGGGCCAGGTAGGGCTTTGGATTGACTACTGAAGATTTGGTTGTCTGTGCAGATTAAAAAAAAATTTTTTTTTTAGCAGCTGCCACCACAGCACAAGAATCTACACTGTGTTACTGAAATTAAGCCATGGCAATCATTTTGTAGCCTCCAGTGAGAGCCAGTTTGGTGTAGTGGTTAAGAGCGGTGGACTCTAATCTGGGAGAACAGGGTTTGATTCCCCTCGCTTCCACATGCAGCCAGCTGGGTGACCTTGGGTCAGTCACAAGTTCTCTCAGAGCTGTTTCCTCAAAGGCAATCCTTGAAAGAGCTCTCTCAGTCCCACCTACCTCACAGGGTGTCTGTTGTGGGGAGGGGAAGGGAAAGGAGTTTGTAAGCCACACTGAGGCTCCGAATGAAGGGTGGGGTATAAATCCAATCTCTTCTCTTCTTCTCTATGTCAGCCATTTTGTTGTCGTACCCAACGTGCCATGTCAGGATTCCAAATATGCCCGCAGTCTCAAAAATGTTGGGGATCCCTGCTCTAACCACAACACCACCCCAGCTGCATTTCACAGGACTTCACACTGGTTATTCCAGGCAAAAACACATTAAATCAAAGCGGATTCAGAGGATGTTCTTCTTTGGAATGGCCACCGCTCATCGTAGAAACAGAGAGGCCTTGTTAGTCATTATGGGAATTTCCTTACCTGCCTCCTGAGTTATCTAGGAATTCAAGCAACGCATCGCTCTTTGATCACATCTTTGTGCTCATAAAATTTGCAGTGGCCTGTGCTTTCCAGAGAGCCAAATTAAAACAAACAAACCTGACGATTACTTGCCTTGGGTCCCAGTTGCCTGGCAGACAGACAGGGTTATAAATGTTTTAAAGAAATCAACAGGATTGAAGCGATGATTCAGCGTGGAGAGGAAGCATCGGCAAAGCTGCCGGGAATGGAGGCTCTTCGGAGAATCGGATGCAGCCAGTGGTCCAAAGCTCACCACTTGCGTCCCCCATCTCTGCCTCAGTCGCATATCAGTAAAGTGGGGGCAGCAGTTGAACGTGGGGGGCAAAGCTCAAGACGTTTTCACAAGCATTGGCAAGATTTAAAGTGCTGCATACCAAAGTCTTTCGAGGAAAGGCTGTAAGAGTTGGGTCTGTTTAGCCTGGGAAAGAGAAGGCTTAGAGGGGACAGGATTGCAGTCTTCAAGTATTTGAAGGGCCGTCATGTAGAAGATGGAGCGGATCTATTCTCCCTTGCTCTGGATTGCAAGACTAGATCTAATGGGTGGAAATTACAAGGGAGTCGATACCGGGTAAATATCAGGAGAAACTTCCTAACTGTAAGAGTGGTTGAGCAGCGGAACAGACGGCCTCGGGAGGTGGTGGATGCTCCTTCGCTGGATGTTTTCAAGTGGAGGCTGGACAACCATCTTTCGGATATATTGTAGGGCTCTCTTTTGGCTGTGCTCCTGCAGAGTGCAGGGGGTTGGACGAGATGACCTGCAAGGTCCCTTCCAACCCTAACATTCTGCCCCAGGACAACAGCAATATCAAAATTTAAAATTAGTTTTGATATACATTTAAACACTTCAACTTTTTTTTTTCTGTTTTAGGCAAAATGTAATAGATTTTTTTTGTGTGTGTGGGCCTGTGTCACCTTGAAGTGACTTGGGCGGGTCGGTGATGTTTGGGGGGAGCACTCTGGATTTTGGGCAAAACTCTGCGGCTCGAGTCTGATTTTCTTTGACCCTAGAAGTTTGGGTTTTCTTCCTTCTGATTTTAAAAGAAATGAAAACATTTCTGCGGGCCCCAAAAAGTATGGTGGGCCCTACACACTGTGCCTACTAATAATTATAATTATTGTATGGCATTGTGTGTAGTACAGCCAGGAGAGGCATGTTGGGTCCTGTTACACAGAAGCAGCTCACTAAAGCTTAGGAGACCTGGCCCATAAAGAAACTGAATAGTATTGTCCTATAAGGAAATGGAATGAGACTTCCTGTAGTTGTTCTTTGTTCCTGAGGAAGGACCAGAAGTTTGAAACACTGAATACTACCTAGGAAAAGTGTTGCACATCTACTCCGGACTTTTTATTTTCCTTTCATGGATCCTGTGGGCTTCTGTATTTTCCTAGGATGGATTATATGTATAGGTTCATTCTTGATGACATGTGCATTTCACCTTATTGAAGTCTCCTTTTGTATATATTTTTGCGGGTAATTCAGCTCACAGTTGTTTTCTGATGGTCTTTGCTATTGTGTGTAGTATAGCCAGGAGAACCGAAGATTGTCTGGCAGCCAGAAGTTCTAGCTCTTTAGGCATTACATGCCACTAGGTGGTGAGCTAAACTTGTTTTTAAGGCAAGAGATGTTTCAAGAGGTGGTTTGCCACTCCCTGACTCTGCGTCACGACTGGTATTCCTTGGAGGTCACCCATCTAGATACAAGCCAAGGCTGACCGCACTAAGCTTCCGAGATCTGACAGGATCTGGCTAGCATGGACTATCCAGGTCAGGGCATAACCAGTGTTCCCTCTAAGCTGAGTTAGTGTGAGCTAGCTCACAGATTTTTAACCTCCGGCTCACACCTTTTTGTCTTAGCTCAGGAAGGATGGCTCCAGAGCAAACTAATTTATGCAGTAGCCAAGTTGCTTGCTCACAACTTTAATGGCAGTAGCTCACAAAGTAGAATTTTTGCTCAGAAGGCTCCACAGTTTAGAGGGAACATTGGCGCGTAACTGGGCCTACTGGGCCTAATGGATAAGTCAGCCCTGGATTTCTAAGAGAACTTGTGACTGACCCAAGGTCACCCAGCATGCTTCACATGGAAGAGCAGGGGATTAAACCCAGTTCTCCAGATTAGAGGCCGCAATTTAACCACTGAACCACACTGGATAGTAGAGCTTTTCCAGGACTGTAACAATGCAAGCCGGGTGTGTGTGTGTGGTTGGCACTATTCAAGCCAATTCCATAGGAAACACCAATACTTCTCACATGTAGAAAAGCAGCATGTTAAGCGCTTTCACCTTCCCCAGTATGCAGCTATTCTATGAGCAGGGACTAGCACTGAAGTAACTCGCACACACGACCACAGTGTGAAGTGATTTAGTTCAGGAAATAGCTTTACTCTTGAGTTGGAGAGAGAGGGTGGGGGGAGAGAGAGAGAGAGCCTTTCCACACTAGACCTTTAAACCTGGTTCAACACTATCTCCTACTAGCTATTCTGCACTACACTTGAGTTCACCCCTATTTTTATCCCGGTTTTTTTTGTCAATTCTGCATTACATTGTAGTCACCCCAGGTGCAGACTGCCGTCGCCCCGGGGGAAACGCAGATCCTGTTTTGCTGTGGGCTTTCCCTCAATCCAGAGTGGCCCCGGTACAGGTTTACGTGTAGAATTTTTAACTTGGTTTTGATCCCCGCCCGCTCTTTTCCCGCCACACCTAGGACACTAAACCCGAGTTTACTGTTCGCAATGCAGAATTTATAACCCCGGGGCAGGCAAGCAAACTGGAGCGGGACAAAATTAGTGCAGAAAACAACAGATAAACAGAGATAACAGCAAGGTATATGGCCGCAAGTCGAACACAGAGAAATCCCGGGGTGAGGTCTAAGTGCGGAAAGGGCTGGTGAGAGAGAGAGAGGGAGCGCACAGACATCAGCCATGTTGGTCATTTCTGGCCAACCAGCAGCTGCGCAAGATGTTACCTGTGGTCCCAGAGGTGAAGATGTACAGGCAGGTGTCCGAGAGGTCTCTGGGGGTGGAGAGATCGTCGGGCACTGGCTCATCAGAAGCCTTCTCCAGCAAGTCATCGAGACCGGTCACCCCGGGAGGGTAGGGCCCCTTCCCCAGCACCCAGACCGCGATGCTCATCTCCTCCAAGTCGGGGAGGATGGGTTCCACAGCCTCGAAAAGATCTGCAGAGACAGAGAGCAGAGCCAGTAAGTGGCGGGGCTCGTTTTGGACCTTGCAGACAGAACCCAGAGAAGTCACTTCTTATGAGAACATGAGAGAAGCCATGTTGGATCAGGCCCAACAGTCTGTGTCACACAGTGGCCAAAAATACCAGGTGCCACCAGGAAGTCCACCAGCGGGGCCAGAACCCCAGAAGCCCCCCCCACTGTTGCCTCCCCCCAAGCACCAAGAATACTGAGAATCACTGCCCCAGACAGAGTGTTCCATCTATACCTTGTGGCTAATAGCCACTGATGGACCCCTGCTCCGTATAAGAACATAAGAGAAGCCAAGGTTGGATCAGGCCAATGGCCCGTCTAGTCCAACATTCTGTGTCACACAGCGGCCAAACCCCAGACGCCATCAGGAGGTCCACCAGCGGGGCCAGGACTCCAGAAGCCCTCCCACTGTTGCACCCCCCAAGCACCAAGAATACAGAGCATCACTTGCCCCAGACAGAGTGTTCCCTCTAGACCTTGTGGCTAATAGTCACTGATGGACCCCTGCTCCATATAAGAACATAAGAGAAGCCAAGGTTGGATCAGGCCAATCGCCCATCCAACCAACCCCCCCCCCCTTTCCCCCCCCCCCCCCAAGCACCAAGAATACAGAGAATCACTGTCTCAGGCATAAGAGAAGCCTTGATGGATCAGGCCAGTGGCCCATCCAGACCAACACTCTGTGTCACACAGTGGCCAAAACCCCAGGGGCCACCAGGAGGTCCACCAGAAGGGCCAGAACACCAGAAGCCCTCCCAGGTTCAATCCCCGACATCTCCAGTTAAAAGGACCAGGCAGGAGGTGACGTGAAGGACCTCCCACCTGAGACCCTGGAGAGCCACTGCCAGTCTGAGTAGACAAGACTGACCTTGATGGATGGAGGGTCTGATTCAGTATGCGGCAGCTTCATGTGTTTCTGATCCAAAGCCCCCCACATGGGATCATGGAGATCTGTTCTCCCAATGGCTATACCGTCCTCTGACGCAAAGGAGCCTTTGCTTGATGCAAGAACTGGGGGAGGTGCTATCATCTGTGGAACCGATCCACAGGATCCAGACAGATCTGGTAGGGGATGCCCCATATCTGGGGTAAGATATGGGGAGCTAAGCGTCACGAGGGTTTGGGATGTGTCTAAAAAGACCAATGTCTAGTGTTCAGCCGATGCTTAAGAGCCATGCTGTGGACAACATGAAGCTGCCTTCTATTAATTAATTAATATTATTCGTATGAGCCAAGTAGTTGTGGTTGGGCACAGGGAAAGCGGCTGTCTTGAGAAGAAGAATGGCCCCTGTATAAATCGATAGTGCAACCTCATTTGGAGTACCATGTACAGTTCTGGTCACCACACGTCAAAAAGGATAGCATTGAGAGTCCCTTGGACTGCAAGATCAAATCAGTCAATCCTAAAAGAAATCAACCCTGACTGTTCCCTGGAAGGCCAGATAATGAAGCTGAAGCTCAAATACTTTGGCCACCAAATGAGACAGGAGCACTCACCGGAGAAGACCCTGATGCTGGGAAAGATTGAAGGTCAAAGAAGACGGGGACGGCAAAGGATGAGATCGTTAGACAGTGTCATAGATGCAACAAACATGAAACTGAGCAAGCTTCAGAGGACGGCGGAAGACAGAAGGGCCTGGCGGGATCTGGTCCATGGGGTTGCGAAGAGTTGGACTTGACTGTGTAACTGAACAACAAAAAAGCATTGGAAAAAGTGCAGAAAAGGGCAACGAGAATGATAAAAGGGTTGAACCACTTTCCCTATGAAGAAAGGTCAAAGCCCTTGGGGCTCTTTAGGTTGGAGAAACAACGGCTGAGGGGTGACATGATCGAGGTTTACGAGATTCTGCCTGGGACAGAGCAGGTCGAGAAAGAAGGACTTTTCTCCCTTTCTCACAAGACAAGAACTCATGGGCACTCCACGATATTGCTGAGCGGTCAGGTTAGAATGGATAAAAGGAAGTCCTCCTTCACCCAAAGAGTGATGAACACGTGGAATTCTCTGCCACAGGATGTGGTGGCAGCTACAAGCATGGACAGCTTCAAGAGGGAATTGGATAAGCATATGGAGCAGAGGTCCATCAGTGGCTATGAGCCACAAGGTACAGATAGGAACTCTCAGGCTGGGGCAAGGGATGCACTGTATTCTTCTTGGTGCTGGGAGGGGGGCAACAGTGGGAGGGCCTCTAATGTCCTGGCCCCACTGATGGACCTCCTGATGGCACCTGGTATTTTTGGCCACTGTGTGACAAAGTGTTGGACTGGATGGGCCATTGGCCCGATCCAACATTGGCTTCTTATGTTCTTAAGAAGAAGAGGAGGAGGAGGAGGAGATTGGATTTATACCCTGCCCTTTACTACCTGAAGGAGTCTCATAGCAGCTTACAATCTCCTTTTCCTTCCCCTCCCCACAACAGACACCCTGTGAGGTAGGTGGGGCCGAGAGAGCTCTCTCGAGGACCGCTCGTGAGAGAACAGCTCTGAGAGAACTTGTGACTGACTCAAGGTCACACCACCGACTGCACGTGGAAGAGCAGGGAATCAAACCCGGTTCTCCCAGATTAGAGTCCATGCTCCTAACCACTATACCAAGCTGGCTCTAAGAGAGGCCAAGGTCATGAAGGGCTTGCACGTGATAGCCAACACCTTAAACTAAGCCCTGTAACGGAGGGACAGCCAGTGGAGCGTTTGCAGAATGATAGTAATAGGCACGCTCCCTCTGTCTCGCTTCTACTGAATCAGACCACTGGTCCGTCAAGGTCAGGACTGTCTACTCTCCAGGGTCTCAGGCAGAAGCCTTTCACATCGCCAGCTACCTGATCCTTCTTCTTTTTTTTAATATATTTTTATTTTGCATATCACATGATAACAACACAAATCATATATTTTTTTAAGATACTATACAGTCCATTACATCCTCTTTTACACCGTATCCCTGGCAATGGCTGTTTACATTATAATGGTTATTAAAACAAAAAGATTTTTTCCCCTGTCATTGCCAGTGATTGCTTAGAAAACTATTTTTTATTTCCTTAAACTCCAACTCAAGTA